TTTTCCCTTAATACCGATTGGCATTCAAAAAGCAGTTTATTCACCTTCAAAAAATTTCCTAATTGAATACACACCACACTTTCCATAATCTTGTCTATTACCGGATTGATATTCAGCTGGTTTACCTACTTGGTCTTGTAACTTTTGAGATGGGCAATATAACACTATGGTAATAGTTGCCTTTGGTATTTATTTGCTAGCTGTAAGGGGTGCATTAATTAATTAGGTGAACCAATATTCTGTCCGAGCACACAGGAAGATGTCATCAACAATCTAATATTGCAAAGTAAATATCACTTTACAATACCAGGGAGTAGACACGAATGCAAATCAAGAGGCGTACACAATCAAGATTCCGCCAGAATTTCAGAGAAGGATTGAGTCATTGAATTAGTGCAAAACATTTGCTTCACCTCTTCAGTTATGCCAAGAACGAGGAGTGGGTATCTCCGCCCTGTCAGCACCTTGGGAAACATTGAGAAATGTTCAAGCTCTTAAATAGTAGTAGTACACGAGTGGATGCAACAATATTTAGCTAATAAAAGTGATTTTGCTAAGATGTTGCAAATGTTTGAAACAGATATGGATATTATTGATTTCAATTCAATTTAATTCAATTCAACACAAGCTTTATTGTCAAAGAACAAAAAATCTTATTGACAAAGCATTTTTACATACTAATATTAAAATTAAGAATAAAATCCAGTCAGTAAATAACATTAACATTGTGGCCATTGTGCACAAAAAATAAATAAGTTAGTAAATGGTACAAAAAAAGATAAGCAACAAACAAATGACAGGCAAATTTAAGACTAGGATAAATACAACGACAGTTAATTCAAAATATAACATGCTTGCAACAGATGAGCAGGAAGGCTTTAGTTCTATATAGAGACATTTAGAAACTCATCAACTGTATAAAAGGCATGATGAAGTAGAGTGCTCCTCAAATGGCTTCGAAACCGTGAAATATCTGAGATGTTTGTGATAGGAAGGTGTTTATAGAATTTTACGCTGTTGTAAATTATTTTGTTCTTCACAAGAGTAGAGTGCGGAATCGGGAGCGGTATATTGTGCGGTGCGTCTGTCGTGTGGAAAAGGCAGTTTGGTGTACAGGGAACGAAGATATGTGTTTATGTAAGAGACTTACCGATTCAAGTATAAAAAGACATGGCAATGTTAAGATGTTAAATTTTTTAAATAAGGGTTTGCAGTGTTCCACCGAGGAGACACCATGATAAAGCGCACTGCTCGCTTCTGGAGTTTAAACACTGATTGAAACAAGTATTGGCTACAACAGCCCCAAAAAGGTAGTCCATATAGGAAAGGTGGGATTGTATCAATGCAAAATACACTAATTTTGCTATGGTTACATCCAAATTTGTGGCCACAGCTCGGACACAGTAGCAACCAGAAGCAAGTTTCGCGCCAAGTGCAGTGACATGCGATTGGAATTTAAGATCAACGTACGTCAAGTTGAAGTCCAAGAAATTTAGTATTTAGAGAGGATTTGATGGAGAATTCGACACAATCAATATCATCAACATTACATCGGAACCCAAGCACCCGAGTCTTACCAAAGTTAAAAAGCAGTCCATTTGCATCACACCAACACTTAATGGCCCTGATGTCCCCAGAAATCACCTGGACCAGCTCATCAGAACTTCCCCCGTGCCACACAACCGTTGAATCATCTGCGAACGCAGTGAAGACTCCCGATATATCAAGGTAGAGAAGATCATTGATATAGATGAGGAATAATATTGGACCCAGGACCGAGCCCAGGACTGATCCCTGTGGAACCCCACGGACGATTGGCTGATTAGAAGAACATTTTCCATCCAGGGTGACACGCTGACTGCGATGTGAAAGATTCGAACCACGTCGAGATCACACCCCTAAAGTCGTAAACATCTAACTTTCTCAGAAGAGTTCTGTGACTCACACAGTCAAAGGCCTTTGAGAAGTCACAGAACACCCTCGCGGTAGCAAAGCCATTGTTGTAGTGCTTCAGGAGTTGTTCCAGAACGCGAAACATGGCATCATGGGTAACCTTTTTAGGAAGGAATCCAAATTGGGTGGAGTTAAGAATTTTATGTTTTGATAGGATACGTTTTTTGAGAAGCTTCTCAACAACTTTGGATATTGTTGATAACAATGATTTTGTGCGATAATTTGATGGCTCTTTTGTATCACCGCCCTTATGTATCGGTACTATCAATGCGTCCTCGAGACTAGGTGGAAAAATGCCTGATTAAAAGGACAGGCTGATTGCTTCCGATAGAACAGCAAGGGCCTGTTCCGGAAGTTCCCTCAAGATTTTTATGGATATACCATCTGAACCGGCTGTGGACTGTTTTCTAATGGATTTAGGAACAGATCCTACTTCATGGACATCGGTGGGAAAAAATGAAAAAGACTCGTTGACATGCAAGTCTCCGAGATAACTCAATGGATCAACATTCGAGTTGACGGCTGCAGTAAGGTTATCAGCGACAGTGCAGTAAAAGCTGTTTAAGTCTTCAAGATTAATGTCAATTTCTTGAGGTCTAAGGCTTTTTCTACCTGTAACCTCTCTCGATGTTCCAGGTTTCCCTAGATTTATTAGCAGCATTGCTTAAACGATTAGAGTAATAAGCGTTTAGCAGTACGGATGGATTTCCTATACATTTTTCTATATTTAAGATAATAGCTCAAGATAAAAGGACTATCAACAAAGTGTTTTCTTATGAGATTTAAGGATTTAAAGTTAGCTGCAGAAATCTTTAAGTCCTTTGTCATCCAATATTTTCGGTTACCCTGTTTTTTTGTTCAAAGAGGCCCATTGTCACCTCAACGGGTGTGTACCTATATCTTCAAGACTCACGATGTTGGTTTCAAAATAACTCGCAAATGTGGCACTGTATAAGAAAAGAGCCACTATTTAACCAACAGTGGTTAATTTCAGATCATAGACCTGAATTTATAAACTTGAGTTTCGCGTTGCCGTCGTCGTTTCGAGGCTGAAAGTGATGATGTATAAAATTCGTCGTTCCGTTCGTTTTTGAAAATATGATTGGTCCAATTGTGCTCGAAACCCAACTCCCATAAAAGAAAAGTAAATGAACTGTGTGGGATGATTGCCCATACCCCACCCCATAGTCGATTTCTATTGGCCTGCTGTTCACCAGCATCTGAAAACAGAACGACAAACATAAAATTTAATAATTTTGCGACAGTAACAGCAACTCGAATCTCAATTTTATAGGTCCAGATTTAGACTTGTTTTTTAAGGGGAAAAATTAACGCACAATGACAGTATATTTTACACAGTAGTATATGTCTACTGACAAGAAACAGTCTTATATTTGCCTGTGCAAATTTTCCTATGTCAAGACAAAATGCATTTCGTGAATCGTGTGGTATTAATTAGTAAGTTCAGCCCCGATGAACTTAGATTTCGCATTAATTTTCTGGAGTTTAATCACATTACTCGATAGCTTTCAGCTTGAAGTACCGTTCCTTCTTCCCTGGCTTAGCTTTTAATTAAATTGCATTTATTATTTCGTGGAAGTTTAATACAATGTCAGGCATTATGTACATATTTTACTGCCTATACCTGAAATATTGCAAATATTTACAAGAATCCCCAGAACATAAAAACACCAAATGTATTTTGTAATGATAGTATGGTCTGGATGGTAGTAAAAATAAACATTCTTTCATCTCCGAGGCATTTATGTGTATTCCACATTCCTCACTCATTCGCTACAATTTAATTTTTAACGGCTTTCAGATTGTGTTGTTTATCTTTTTGAATTCAAATTTAGCAAATTGTGACGAAATTGGTCATTCTACTCAGTGCAATTTTTTACAATGCAAAATAATAAAAATTCATCATTAGCATCCTACATAATATTCTTGACACTAATTATATTCACCTTTTATATTTTCAGTTACATTGTGACAAACTTTCTGAAAATCTATGTTTAAAAGCTTTCACGGTTTGTTTGTTTATTTTTGTTTTCGCCAAAGGTCGTCAATCCGACATTGACCCAGACTTGTTATAGAGAGTAGGTAATGATAAATTACTGGTCCTGTCTGAAACCAATAATAACATATTACTCCATTTATTATTGGCACGAAATATAATACCTACATAGGAAATAGAGGGGCCTTTTTCCTTTTGACATTTGACAATCCAGAAAGGAAGTGAACATTATTGGAAAAGCGTATGAACGACTTTTTCGTGGTTGAATGAAATTTTAATGAAACATTTTTGATGTTCCAACACGGTTTCGCTCAGCAAATTATTAATTACCTTGTATAGTAATGTACTTGGCTCAAAACTGAAATGGTCTACAAAAAAAAACACATAAGAGACGGACGTGATGGCTTTTATCGTTTCAATGTCGATGAAACTTTGGGTCTTTTGGCGAGCGGAAAACTGAAAAATATCGGAAAAATATCCAGGGGTTGCTTTTGCATTGATTGACCTCAATAGGTTCCTATACAATGAAGACTCTTTTGAATGTACGCAAGAGAAACATTGAAGGAATTCACTCTTTACCTAGCCCACACTATTTACTTTTAATTGCATATGCATACAATATCCCATAACGCATTTTTATGCAGCCATTGAAACTTTCCATCGCGACAAAACGCCTTCTATAGCAAGTAATTACCGCCATACCGGCCATTGGCATTTTACAATTTTTATGTCTGTAGATCTAACAACAATAGTTTCTCTTTACGAGATTTATTGCGATTCATACGGCAAGATGCTTTTATATTGGCTGCTGCTTTAGAAAATTATTTTCGAAAATTGGGCAATAAACAATCAGTCGGTCGTGCGGGATAGTTACGCCTATACGAACACCTTTATATTACAATCAAAACCCGCGCGAAGTTATAAATTGTGTCCTATGGCAAAACAGAAACAAATATGTCAAAGTTGTTTTTATGCAGCAACTGAAATTATATATGTGCGCATTTGATTATAATTATGTTTTTTTTTTTAGGTGGATCAACGTGATGTTCCTGGCATCGACTGTGCCTTCTTGGCCATGGACACCGAAGAGGGTGTGGAAGTAGTTTGGAACGAAGTCCAGTTTTCGGAAAGGAAAAATTTCAAGAACCAAGAAGAGAAAATCCAAATGGTGTTTGAGAACCTTACCCAGCTGGACCATTCCAATATTGTTAAGTTTCATCGGTACTGGACTGATACCCACAATGACAAGCCTAGGGTAAGCTTACTTTTCATCATTTTGTTTCTTATACCTTATTTTTTTCTTGAGGTGTTTTGCATATCATTGGCTAAAGAGTATCATGAGAATCTTGGCAGCATCATTATCTGTGGGTACTTTGATGGCTAAATAAGCTTATTCTGGACCCACATTGGTTGTTGTTGTAGACCAGCTCTTATCATACGGGTTTATCGTGTATTGGCTTTAGTACAGGGCCGGTATTCGGGCCAGTTAAGTTAGCCCCCTCCCCATAGAAAATTTCTGAATGAAATTTATCCCATAATTTTGCTCTCATTTTGCTCCACTAATTTCGATTTTTGCTCCATTACAGTTAGGGATGTAAGCCAATTTTTCTGAGAATGTCATGTCACAGTCAAAATGAAAATGACGTTCACGTCATTTATTTTTATGAAACTTTTGTCATTTATTTTTTTATCGATTGAATTTTCTGACTGTCAAATTATTAACTGACCGTCATTAAAATATATGACCATCATTAAAATATATGACCGTCGTAGCCGTCATTGAAATATTATCTATACACAATCTGTAGTCCAAAGGTACAGGTAAAATGTATCACCTTTCAATGCTATTTGATAGGGAAAGGCGATACATTTACCTGTACCTCTGGACTACAGATTGTGAATAGGATATATATGAAAGTGTCACAAAAATATCAGCTGACTTTCGATTTTCACTGTCAAACTAATGGAGCAGAAGATGGAAGCTGTATTTTCTAACTCATTAGATGACTTTGATGCTGATGACTGTGCAACTGAAGAAGAGCTTTAGTCAACCAATCAGATATTCGATTCGAGATATGTTATGTTCAGAGGTTATGTTCTACATTGAAGATAAATGACCATAAATGACAAAAAAATTACTGTCACCTATCACAAAAAATAAATGACCGTCATTTTACATCCCTAATTACAGTGGAGAGACTATGTGGAAATTTGATCATGCTTATTTTGTTCTCCGAGTTTTACTCCATTTTACTCCATTATCGGCGAGTTTTGCTTCATTACCAGGAGAGACCTACAGAGCTCCCAAAAATCTCTCCCAACCTCCTCCCCCCTCCTCCCCCAGTGAAAATTCTGAAATTTGAGCATGCTCATTTTGTTCTCCGAGTTTTGCTCCATTTTGCTCCATAATCGGCGAGTTTTGCTCCATTACCAGAAGAGACCTACAGAGCTCCCAAAAATCTCTCCTAGCCCCCCCTGGTGAAATTTTTTAAATTTGAACATGTTCATTTTGTTCTTTGAATTTTGCTCCGTTTTGCTCCATTTTGCTCCATTATCGGCGAGTTTTGCTCCATTACCAGTAATGACCTACAGAGCTCCAAAGAATCTCTTGCCCCCAGTGAATATTTTGAAACTTGAAATTACTCATACTGAGTTTTGCTCCATTTTGCACTAACAGGGCTTCTTGCGGGCTCTGTTTGTCTATTTGCACCAAAGTTACACCAGGTGCACCAAAAAGTCAGTTTGTCTCTGTCAGACCCATACAAAAAAAAAATAGGGATAAACCTTGGATAAACAAACACGTTTGGTGTAGAAAGTGTCAGTTGGTGCCTTGTTGGTGCGAATAAACAAACAAGCTAGTGAAACCAGGGACCACCGTTCCCTTCACGGCCATTATACTGAAAATCAGAGCAGCTTCAGAGCACCTGAGTGCTCAAACCGTGGCACCCGAAAGCAGCTCAGGTAATGGAGCAGAAGTCGCCGATCATGGAGCAAAACGGAGCGAAACTCGGAGAACAGATATGATCAAACAAAGTTTTCACTGGTGTGGGGGGCTAGGAGAGATTCTTAGGAGCTCGTAGGTCATTCCAGGTAATGAAGCAAAACTCTCCGATCATGGAGCAAAATGGAGCAAAACTCGGAGAAAAAAATGCGCATATAGAAACTCCAAAATTTTCCCACGTGTTGCAAGGAGAGATTCCTGGGAGCTGTGTAGTTCATTCCAGAGCCGCTTTCGGGTGCAGTGTGCGAAGCACCTGGAGCATTTCACGCCTATTATACTCAATGCGCTTTGCACTCGAACGCTTGAAAATCAGTTACAGGTGCATCAGGGGAAACAGGCGAGGAAAGTGAGAGCAGCTAATTCGAAAGCGCTGAGCGCTCAAAGCGTGGCATCCGAAAACGGTTCGTGATGGAGCAAAACGAGCTGATCATGGTGCAAAATGGAGCAAGACTCGGAGAACACAATGAGTAATTTCAAGTTTCAAAATTGTCACTGGGGGGCAAGAAAAGATTCTTTGGAGCTCTGTAGGTCATTCCTGGTAATGGAGCAAAACTCGCCGATAATGGAGCGAAACGGAGCAAAACTCGGAGAACAAAATGACCATGTTCAAATTTCAATATTTTTACTGGGGGGGCTGGGAGAGATTCTTGGGAGCTCTGTAGATCATTCCTGGTGATGGAACAAAACTCGCCGATCATGGAGCAAAATAGAGCAAAACTCTGAGAATCAAATTTCAGAATTTTCACTAGGGGGGGCTAGGAGATATTCTTGGGAGCTCTGTAGGTCTCTCCTGGTAATGGAGCATAAATCGCCGATAATGGAGCAAAATTCGGAGAACAAAATGAGCATGATCAAATTTCTGAATTTTCACTGGGGGGGGGGCTAGTGTTAAGTCAGCCCCCCCACCTAATAGGCCACATAGTCTTTCCACTGTAATGGAGCAAAAATCGAAATTAGTCGACCAAAAGGAGAGCAAAATTATGGGATTATTTTCATCCAGAATTTTTCTATGGGGGGGGGGGGGGGGTAGCTTAACTGACCCCCGGTATTCTCTTGGCACTTTTGATGTGAATTTACATTAGAGATGTGCCGAGCGTCTAAAAAGCGGTGAGCCTTTTCGAGAACGAGGCCCAGGATTAAGAATTTTGAGACAAACAAACATTGCTTAAGGTCTGGTACTTAGAACACAATTTGGTTCTCGGTTGAGCTTCTCGGAGGTTTCACATGGAACATTTGATAATTTTTATATGAGTACATTTCTAGCTTTGGTCAGCTCAACCAAGGATCAAATTGTGTTCAGAGAACTGGAGAACTTAACCAATGTTAGTCAAAATCAAAATCTTGAAAACAAGTATAGAATTGGACTAAAAATTCAAATAGTACCTAGAGCGATATAAACACCTAAATTGGGATTGAACTGTTTAAAGTCATGCGTGTCTTGACTAGGGTTTTCAAAGGATATTGTGTTAGAGTGCAAATAAATTGAGAATCAATTTAGTCAATGCGCTCTCAGCACATTCCCGTCATAAATCTAGTCCCAATTTCAGGCTTGTTATAAAACACTTAGGTACTAATTAACTTAAATTTTCATCCGGATGAAAAATTAAGCGGGACTCGCCATGAAAAATAAACGTAGTTATACTATTCAGGTTAAATCGTTGTAAAATGTTTCAACTCATCATCAGCTTATCTATTGTTTGTCAAGACAATTGATTTATTGAATTACACATTTCATTCAATTCGATCAAAAATATCATTTTACATTTTACAACTACCACAAGTTTCTAACCGAACGTAAATAATTCGTAAATAAACAATACCACTAATAAGTAAATACTAGTCAATCCTACTTGCAAATAAAAATGTATCAATACTGAAACAACCTTTCTTTCTGGCGCCTTCGCCAACACAATGTAATACCGTGTTCACTCCAATACCTCGACCCCTATGCTGATATCCTGATACATTTTTTACTTTCGTAAGGCGAGTTTGTGCTTTGTGTGGCCACTATACACACAGGCAGGCTACCAGTAGTGAGCTGAGCTGTGACTGCAGCGAGGAGAAAATATACACTTTTTCAATCTTCTACATTCCTGATAGAATCAGCTGCTTCGAGACGTCTTACTGACGAGGACATTATTGCGGCTTGCTGGCAGACGCGCTCCAACTTAAATTTGGCTCTTTGCTTTTTCTGTTTTCCTGTCATCCAACGCGAGGTTTCCAGTGCATCTATTCTACACAAAGGACAGTTTGAGGCAAACTGGTTGGACTAGAAATGGATTTCAACAGCTGGAAGATCGATTGAAAACTTTTCATTCTAAGATAAGAAACCGTAAAAATTACTATATTTTTTTCTTCCTATACGTAGTTATTTCTCTCATCACAGTGCCCTTGATGCAAATGCAAAACAAATGTTAAGGGCGTAAGGGACAGGGACACAACCGGAAGTCTCTGAAGGTATCTTTTTTGGTGTGTTCTCAATGTTAATGGATTTTTGTGGGGTGGGAAATTTTCTTGAAAAATCAGGGTATTAATAATTATTCAATTAGGAATTTTGTCTGTTTTGTTTTTGGTCATTAGGGTCACTACCCATAAATTCAAAGAAAGTTTTTTTGAAACTGGAGAAATACGTAATTAGGTACACGTTACACTTTTGGCTTTTTCTTCAATATTCGCCCCAGCTTCTGAAGTAACGAGTTAGAAATCGAATTCATTCATTGAACTGGTCAAGTCCTCTTAGAATTAATTATTAACTTACTTTTTTCAAAAAAAAATTGAAAAAATAAATAACTTCTTTGGCTTCGGAAACAACATTTTGTAATGTACTTTCTGGACATAAAAAACAGCTACAAGTAGTTCACAGCTCTGCAATTTTTATTACCTCAAAAAGCTGCTCAAAGAACATCGTGACATATAATCAATTGAAAAGCAAACAAGTGACATACCTACCTAATAGAACATCAACAAGTTTCTGATATCCTGTCATACCGATCGTAACGATTCGACAGCACCGTGCCATCGAAACGAAAGCGACTCGATCCAAATCGAATTCTCATTTCGCGTATTCTGTGCTCCTGAGATACGCCGATTGGCCATTGGGTAGGATGTAATAATATAAAAATAGCTGTTAAGTGTTTTGGATTGTTTAAAATAGCTCAACAAGTCCTTCTGTGCTCCTGATCTGAATGGGGAACGTAGCTTCAGGCAAACTTGGGTATACAGGCACCGGCACGGCACCTATCTTTCGTATTCAA